GGGGGGGGGAGTGAGGGACACCAGCAGGGCTGTGGGGGAGCATTTCATTTTAACCATGGATTTTGTGATTTTTACCAGAGAATTAGCCATTTTTTATCAGAGAATTTGTGATTTTTTTTTTTATCATGGAAAACCAGGATCCCTGCTGATTTTGTTCCTCTAAAGTGGCTACAGACCACAAAGACTGACAATGCTTGGATCACCCGGTGGGCCTTAGCTGTACAACCTTTTCATATCTGTATCGAATACAGGCCCAGCTAGACCAATGTGGTGGTGGACTTTTTATCTCCATGCCAATCAGAAGAACCTGCATTGAATGTAAACCAAAGTCAACAAACATCCAGAAACAGAAATCTAGAAATAGAAGAAAAGGCGCCTAGTGGAGTCTTAAGGGGGAAGATGTGTAATAAAGAGATAGAGATGGTGACAGTATGAATCATACACTGGCAAGAACCAGCTGAGGAAAAAAGGGAGCCATACTTCCAGAGCAGCTGCTCCATGAAGCTACAGCAGCTGGGCACTCCGGGTATAAGACCAGGCCATGAGGAGCGGAGCTGGCGGTTGTTGCAGGGATGCTGCTGAGGTGCCGTTGTCCAGCTGGAGATCTACTGCTCCCAGGAACATTCTGGAGGCCAGGGTATGAACTGTGGCAATGGAGAAAGTTCCTGGCCCTGGGGCATGGCCTAAAACTACACCCTTCTGGGGTTGGAGGGTGTGGTGGGGCTGCCTGTGGCAAGGCAGTCTCCAGGAAATGCCACACCAGTCCTCAGTCCCCACTGCCTTGTAGGTGAGCCTGTGGAGAGGAAAGGCTAGGGAAGCACACCTTGAGAGAAAAGCACCAGGCTTGGGTGACAGCATGGGGCCAGGGGGGCCTGAAGCCAAAATCTGGGAGAGCAGGGCTGGGGTGACAACATGGGTGCCAGGAAGGCCCGAGGCCCAATGCCGGAATGTGACTGAGGCTTAGTGGGAGGCTGAGAGAGAGGTCCAGGTACGAAGACAGACACTTGAGGCTCAAGGGCCAGAAGCCCCAGTGAGGGGGCAGAGTAGTAATCCCGGTGAGGCGGTAGAGTGTGAGAGGCAAGGACGCTAATGAGAGGCAAGGAACCCAGAGATGGGGTTTGAATAGAGGCCCCAGAGAGGAGGCAAGTGGCCCAGGTATTTCTAAGAACACCTGAGGCCAAGTTGGGCCAGAGGCTGAAGCAAGGTATGTCTCAGGATGCCAGAGGCCAAGTGCAGCTCAGCAATGAGGCGGGGGGAGTTGGAAGTGGTTTTGGATACCATCTGTGAGGCATGGGACATGGTAAAGGGAAGGCTGGAGCTGTATATTACACACTTGGCATCAAGACATATAATTGGCAGCCTCCTGCCTATAAACAACTACTAAAATATGAGAAAGGTGTGGCAGGAAAGTCAGGCAGGTGGACTGCTCTAGACAGGTGGGTGGACCAACATTATGACTGCCCCTATGAAAACCCTGTCATAAAAGGAAAGTCATATGAGAAGAGACTGAAGGTGCTAGGCATGCTCAACTTGCAGAAAATGCATGTAAGTGGAGTCATGATAGCAGTCTTCAAACACTTGAAGGGCTGATATAAAGAAAAGGGAAAACATCTTTTCTCTTTTGATGCAGAGAGGAAGAAGTGGACCAATGGCAGCAAAATAGTTTTAGATTGGATATTAGGAAAAACCTTCTTCACTGTTAGAACAGTGAGGCAATGGGGTAGACTGCCTAGGGAAGCTGAACTCTCCATCACTGGAGGTGTTCATGAAATGGTTGGGCAGCCACTGGTTGGAGATGATCTGGGCATAGCTATGGCTATGTACATCTATGGGTATTCCCCATGCTTTTTAGTTCTGTGGATTGCTGCAGGGGGAGAGCATTCCTCCCTCCTCATCAAAGTTCCCTCAAAGGCCACGCACAACCAGAAGTCTGGCCATGCACAGCTTTTTCAAGGCCGCGCACTGGGAGAGGTGCTGAAGGTAAGCTCCAAGGGGAGGTGGGTGTGGGAGCCTGGCGCAGTCTCCACCAGCTCCAGGGAACTGCTCCACTCCCCCGCTTTGCCTCGGGGAGTGAGGAGGCACGTGGCATCAGGGCCAGGGAGTGGAGCACTTCCCGAGAGCCAGCAGAGCCCCCACCAGCCCCCGACCCCAGCCTCCATCCCTGCCTTGCCACACCTTGGGGAGGAGCCGCTGCCTGCCCCGAGTGAGGGTTCGCTGGCTCTGGAACACTGCTCCACTCCCACCCATCGCCTTGGGGAGCAAGGAGGCACATGGCATCAGGGCTGGGGAGCAGAGCAGTGTCCCAGAGTCAGTGGTGCCTCACTCAGGGCAGGCAGCGGCTCCAGCCTCTGGCCCCCAGCTCCAGTCCCTGGCCCCCAGCCTCTCGGGCCCAGTCTCCAGCCCACAGCTCCAGCTTCCGGCCCCCACCCCTCAGCCCCCTTCAGTAAGTGTCCCACACCAGACTAACACGACACGCTCACGGACTGATGCAGCGCGCTCATGGGCTGCTACTCCTTAGAGGGAACATTGCTCCTCACCCCACCCTATGCTGTCACATGTGCCAGGATTTGTAAAGCCTTCCTTAGCAGAATTGGTTGTTGGCTGCAGCCAAGGCTGGGAATTTTGACTGTAATGTGCCAGTGCTCCTGCTTGGACTTAATGTCAAAGATTCCTGGCTAGGGGTCTTGCCCTTCCACTCCGGGTCAGACTGACCACCATATTTGGAGTCAGGAAGGAATTTTACCTCACAGTCAGATTGGTACAGACTGTGGTGGTTTTTGCTTTCCTTGTAGATGGATGCTCGCCCCCCGCTCCTTCCTGGGATCCCTTGAGAATATATTAAGAACCTTTAAAGTATCAGAACATTGGGTGCCTTGGTTCCCCTGCTTTACCTGTGACAGGTTAAGTTGTTATGTCTTGGTTTTTGTGTAAATGTTGACTATGTAGTTGTGATAGGGATGATCCTGCCTCAGGCAGGGGGTTGGGCTAGATGACATCTCAAGGTCCCTTCCAGCCCTACTTCTCTATGATTCTATGATAAGTGCAAAGGAATGCATATGGGGGAAAACAAGCTCCATTATATGTACACAGAGAATGTGGAGTCATTGTAGATAGTTCTCTAGCAATGACAAAAAAGTTAATAAAATGTTCAGCATCATTAAAGGGAATTGAAAACAAATTGGAAAATATCATCATGCTGTTATACAAATCTATGGTGCAACCACATCTTGAATTCTGTGTGCAGTTTTGGCGTTTGCATCTCAAAAAAGATGTAGTAGAATTAGTAAAGGTACAGAGAAGGGCAATCAAGATACAGAGATATGGAGGTATGGTGGTATGGAGCAGCTGTCATACCAGGAGAGATTAAAAAACTAGGACTCTTTAGTTTGGGAAGGAGAAGGCTGAGGGTGGATATGATAGAGGTCTGTAGAATCTTGAAGGCTGTGAACAAAGTGAATAGTGAATTGTTATTCACCAAGGCCTTTGGCAGATGTTCAGTTAAAGGTTCCATGGGATTTGATGTATGATCCCAGAAATCATGCTTCCTGCCATGCTACACATGCAAAGCAAGATGTGTGATTGAGATTGCATATCAGATCCCCATGGCACCATATTGCCAACACAGAGGGAGCCCAGGACCATGATTCTGGGTTTTTCCTGCACCAGAAAATAGGAAGCCAGTCAGCTAATCCTTGTTCTCATCCTTGGGAGCATATTGGAGTCAAGGGCTCTGATGCACCTCTAAGGCTGGAAGTGCCAATTTGCTTACTGCCATTCTCAGCCTCTGGGATGCACCAGAGCCCTTGACTCTGATGCACACCCCCAGGTTGGGAGCCCCAATCATCTGTCACTCCCAGCCTCCAGAGTACAGCTAGAGGCTGGGTGCAAAGATAAGCTGATCAGGGTACCCATCCTCCCGGGTGCAGTGGACTCAAAGACTTCAGTGCATCCACGAGGCTGGGAGTGGCAGCTCCTAGCCTTAGGGGTGCATTCAGAGTCACAGGTTGTGGTGCACCCCAAGTCTGGGAGCAACAGCCAATCTTGGCTCCCATCCTCGGGGGCACATCAGAGATCTTGACTCTGACGTTGATGGCTTAGAAACTCATATTTAGAGATTCTATTTTAGGAACTGGCTTATAGGTAAAGTAGATTCAATTTTATATTGCATTACAACAGTGGTCCATGGAAACAGCAAGGGTTAATTGGTTTATAAAAATCTGTTTGTGGCAAAGTTTCCTTCAAGGTAGACATTGTGTCTGAGGCCAATGGACAAGCAGGCATAAACAGGCTGGAAAAACATGAACAGTGTATCCATAACATGAGAGGCTTGCAGCACTGGCACCAGGTCACAGTGGCCAACTGCAAAGCCCTTAGGATTTCTGGTTTTGGTGGACGGACCAAATTAGGAGGCTGGGGCATGCCCAAATTAAGACATTGGTAAATGACCAAATTAATATATGTGCATGTGATTGGTTTGTGGAAACAAAGAAATATGCTGACAGAACAGAATGGACAGCCTGATGACCACAGGGAAAGCAATTAATGGTATGCAGAGATGAAGATGCATCAGGAGGAGGAAGAATACTAAAGGAGGGATTTCAGAGCATCGAAAGGCCCCAAAGAAAGAACCTGAGGCCACCATGCACAGAGGGCACACCACCAGCCTGTCTCACCCACCCCACTGGGGTGGGCGGTGAGCCTTGGGCCTTGGCTCTCGAGCTCCAGGCTGCCGACATTGAAGAAAGAACAACAGGGTGAAGCTTTCAGACTGGTCAGACATACCTTCCCTCTGTGAACCCTAGGACTAGTAGATATAGAATCTGGGAGGGAAGGGGAGAGGAAGGGGCTTTTATTTTGTTTGCCTTTCCTGTATTAGTCTTATCTGCTATCACTGTGTCTCAATAAAATTTACCTATTATCAAATGGAAGAAGTTATGGTCAGTCTGAGAGTTTGGGTCCACCCAGAGCAAGGAATCTGGGTCATAATCCAGTACCAACAATATGACCCCAAGACTGGGAGCAGAAGTTATTTGATCGGTGCTCCTGTGCACTCCACACATGCAATTTAAGGTGCGATGAGAACCAGCCACAAAGTTATTAAACATATTTTGTTTAATAACTTTGTGGCGTATTTGCTTGTTTTATCAGGCCATCTGCATTAAGGTGCGTCCAGGTTACTACTTTAGAAGTGATTAACTGGTTAATCATGTCTTAAAGGTAATGTCTGCCAGGGTACAAATCCCAGAATACTAGAAACAGGGGGCACTGCTAAAATTAGCAGGAGACAGATTTAAAACTAAGAAGTATATTTTTATGCAGTATGTAATTAACTTGTGGAACTCATTACTGCAGGAGGTAGCTAGTATAGCCAGGTTCAAATAAGGACTAGACAAATCCAAGGATCTAATAATGGCTACTAAACAGAACAGTTAGAGATGAATCCTTTAAATCAGTGGTCCTACATCATTTTTGTGCTGTAGGTACCTAAATGACACTGAACCGCTTTTAGACATCTAGTTTATCAGTTTGGATCTGGGCCATATACTCATCTTGTGTATATTAGCACAGCTCCAGGGGAGCTAGGGGGTTTGTACTGGTTGAGTGTCCAGTCTTTAAATCTACTAACCCCTATTTAGATTATGTCATGTGACTAGGAATATATTTTTCTCATTAGGTTTCATTTTTTGAAGAACAAAAGGCCTCTTGTTTCTTTTACTGTGAGTCACATTTTCTGTAGAAATCCAAGTCGTCTTTTTATCTCCTCATAGGTGGAGAGTAAGCAGCCTGATACTCCCTAAACATTCCATGCGCATGACCCTCCCTGATTTCTGTTTGCTGCCTTCTGTAGGGAAGCAATTTAACCATCAGGAACATTTAATTTTTCCCATTTTTAGTGCAAACTGGCAGCTGACCCAGTCTTAGTATTTTTTTTTTTTTTGTCCTAAAACCTTCATGTCAGGTTTTGTTGGGTGAAATGGGTCTTAGTAGAAAAAAATAGTTTTGTTAAAGCAGAAGAGTCCCTTTTTGGCTGCAGATCCACTTCTCTGTGTTGATTAGTATAGGGTGGACACTGATGTGGATGTTAAAGTAGAAGAAAAATAGCTAAGTGACCTAAAAATGAGACATTATTATTCTATTTTTTTCACATAAAAGCTTTGGCATATGCTGTACAGCCTTGCTCCTTTCAGTTGTTTGTTGTATTTGTTGAAAGAATGAATATTGGCCAGATTTCAGCCTGGTATAAACAGGAGTGGACCAATCAATTAAGTACAGTGCTGTGGGCTGCATTTGGCTCATTGTTCATAGATCCACCTACTAAATTGAAGAAAGTGCAACAGTTGGGTCCTGTTTGAGACATCATCTGAATTTCCAATGTTGGACTAAAACCTGGATCCAGATATGCAGGCACATGTGATTTGTGGTGCCAGAAACCTCTTTGTGGTGCCACAAAGCACATGAGTTGCATGTTAATCTGTGTGCAGCACTGCTAATTTGCAATGCTGGGGAAAATGTTTGCTATTGTGACTTCCTGGTAGCCAAAAAAAAAATCCTGAAAAAAGTGGTGCAAACCATGCCAAAGTGACGTGTGCCAGGACAAACGCAGGGACAGGGGAGCAGGCAGACCAGGGCTACCTACTCCCCCATCTCTGCACATGGCGGAGCTCCTGTGCTGAGGCACCCTGCACCCCAGAGACCCACTCCCTGGCTGGCTGAGGTGCAGAGCTGGATGTCCCCTTGTCTCCCCATGGCTTCACTACAGAACCCTCAACCCAGGGCTGCCTGCTCCCCCATTTTGAGGCACACTGTACCCAAGTCAGCTGGGGAGTGGCTGGTTGGGGTGCAGGGTGCCTCAGCACAAGATGGTCCATGGTGGGCAGAGATGGGGGCACAGGGAGTCCTTGGCTGCCTGCTCCCCTGTCTCTGTGTGTCCCTCCTTGGCTGGCCAGGCCACAGGGTGTCTCAGCATAGGGGCTGCCTGTTGGCTAGCCCTTGCGGAGGCACCCAGCCAGTCTCCTCCCTCCTCCCCTCCCGCAGCACATGGAGTAGCAGGATGTGCCCTGCTGCAAAGCGCACAAGCAGGGGCGTGCACTGCAGCATCAGGTAGCAGCACAGATTTGAGTTTGAATCAACCAGGTTGCCTTCACAAAACTGGGCTGGAAATCCTGTGGCAATATGCTCTTTTGGATGATGTCTAGCATGTCCTGCTTAGGGTCTGGTGGAGAATAATAATAGTGCAAGCAAACTTTCACAAGAGATTTTGGATATTCTACTCTGGACACTGGGGAGCTGAGCATCTTGATAAATTCCTGGAAAATCTAAATGTTTGAAATGTATTTTGAGTCAAATGTGAGAGATATTGTGGGGATTATTTTCTGCAGCACTCCCAACCTCACTTTTGTTATGTATATATGTGCTATGGGGTAAAATCCAACCATCCTGCCATCTCGGAGGAAGTTGCTCAGGTGATGGTGTCATTTCAGTTTTGTCAAGTAAAGAAGACAGCATAGACCTTGGTATTTGAGCTTCCTCAGAACCAGCTTTTGGTTTTGTGGGGAATTCCATAAATTTAATATTTTTTTTTCAAATTTTAGAAGTGAACAAAAACAAAAACTTCAGAATTCCTCACACCATGCGCATATGAAAAATATTTAATTTGGGGTTAATTTACATACTGTAAATTAAAATGCTGTTGTATTAACCGTATTTTGCAGTGTACAATGTGCACCTATGTATTAGGAACCTCCCCCCAGTGATTATATTTTGAAAAAAACATTTCTAAAATAAATACTTTATTGATTTGTATTCAAATTTTTATTTTAATGATCAATTTTTTTTGTTATGTAGCTTTGTTGTTGTTCTCACTTTAATTTTAGACCACTGCTTACTGGAAAATATGGTAAACATTTTTAGCATTTTTAACATGGGTTTCTAACTTCAAGCAAAATACGTTTAGAAAGAAAAAGGTCAGAGTAAAATGAAAATTTGAAACATTCCATTAAAAAGGTCAAAATAAAATGTTTTGTCATTATGAAAATGTTGTATGTCATTTTTTTTAAAGTGAATTCATCCTAGTAACAGTGCTTCCATAAAGGACAGAGCTGTATTTTGCTTAGTTAATGACCAAAGTGCAGCTTGTGATCAACTCTGAGGTACCAGCTAAAATGTAGGAGCAATTCTATTATCCCCTCTGGGTGTGTAAATGCCCCATTATAGGAATTCTGTCCACAATGTTCAACATCTCCATTTAAGACAGTAACTTTTGATGCATGTAAGAGAGAGAAGAATAATCAGTAACATCTCTTCTTGGCATCTATACTGCCATTTGATTTAGTGCTTCCTGGTGCAATGACTGTCTCCATACTAGGCCATTACTGCTTCCTGGTCATAAAGCAGTTATCTGTAAAATATCCCTCACCAGAAGCTATGGAATTATAGCCTGGCTGTACACAATGATTTATTACCTCATGTTCTATTCTGACTAATGCCTGCATGCTGTGGGTTGCTGTTAAATTGGATATCAGGGATAGAATAAAATAAATAAAACTAAACACTGTAGTTCACATACTATGCTTCTGATTGAAAAAAAAAATTAAATCTGGTGGCAAAGTATTTTACTTAAGGAGTGCCCATGAGAAAAAAATATTTTTTTCAATTTTAAGATTCTTTTCCTTCTGAATTGGAAATGGAATGTGTCCCTTTAAATAACAAATGATGAACTGTCTCTACTTATTCTGACTGTTAATCATGAAACCTAATTGAGATTATGTAAATATGTGGTTTCATTACTAATTAGAGAAGAAACTTTCAGTTTGGAAGTATGATCAGAATGTAAGTAGAATGTGAGTTACAGCTGATCAGGATTTTTCTGACGAAACTTTCTGTAGGAAAAGGGAGATTTGTGAAAACTACTACTTGTCAGGACTATAGTTTGGTTTTGATGAAACTTCATCAGTAGAAGTTTTTTGGCTGCACAGTAGGATTTCTGGTCAAACAGCTAGAGATAGCAAAAGACTTCCACAACAGTAAATTGGTTCTAACCGCCAATGTGAATGAGGCAGTTTCAGACACTGATTTAGACCTGTTACACTTTTTGAACAAAACTACCTTCCAATTTTTAGAGTGTTGAAGTTAGAAGGAAAAAATTGCAATAGAGCCCATTATCTTTGTTGCAGTTCTGCCCCTCTACCCAAAGCACTCAAATTCCTGAAGGCTTTGCATTTGCTGTTTTTAATAGAAACATGTTGTAGCAGAGACCCAGCCCAGCCCTGTACTCACCAGGGTGAAGATCACCGCGGGGTCCTGGGCTATCCCGAAGGCAAACAACAGGCCCATGGGCAGGCAGCGCACCCCTCCCCCGCATATGCTTCCCCCGCAAGCAGGGCAAGGAAGTGGCAGGAGACCTCATCCCTCATGTGCTTGTCCTCCAAGTAGGGCTGAAAGCAGGAAGCTGGGCTCCACCTGGACATGAAGCCTGGACAGGGCCAAGAGCAAGTGACTGGCATGCCCAGCACTGCCTAGAGCCTGAAGGCTGCACCTACAGACAATTATGAGCCCCTGGCAGCAGCTGTAGGGCACATGGGGGCTGGCAGGGGTCTGGGTTGGTTCAGGTCAACCTAGAACTTCCCTTATAGGATAGCATCAGCCCCAGGAAAAAGGAGATGTTGGAGTAGGTACCAAACTACATTGCTTCCCTCCACTGGAGCCAAGGACATCTCATCAGAGACCAGCCCAACTCTGGCTCGCACAGCAGGAGCCAGACCACCTGGCAGATGCTGGATGCCAGGTGCCTGAAAGGGTCTTACGGGGGGTTGATAGTGCTCATGGTCCCTAATTATTCACAGGGGTTGGCCTGATACAGGCCCACCCTGTGAATCAGGCTTCTGACTGGGGGTGAACCCCAAAGAGCCTTAGCTGCCTGAGGAGCAGATGGACAGATACTGTAATATCAAAGCTAGGCCCATGAGCAGATGACAGCCATCCTTATTTATGTTGTATTACTTTATTAATTCTGATGTGGTACGGACATCATTGGAAGTAGACCTTCACCAAAGTGACAGGGCTCGGTCAGCCCGTTGGTCCCAGATCATTTGGTTCTGCTTCCTGAGTCAGACCTTTCTTCCATTACATGAAGGCAGGTGCCTAGGAAACCAAGTGCCTACCCTGATATCATCACAGGAACACCCGAGTGGAAGGGCTTGGGGTGTAGGGAAGTGGAGCCCCACATAAGGTGCCCAGACACCAAGACCCATGCCGCACTACAGTCAGGTACCACCTCTTGATATCCTTTTCTTTAACAGGAAGTCATGACAGGCAGGATATAAAAAGGTGGGGCTAAACACCCGCTGAGAGTGTGACAGCAAGGTCCCACGCCAGTGTGACCCTTTGGCTTGAGTCCCACTACACATGTACTTAACCATTACTATGTTAAACAAAAGGCAATACTTCAACCTATAAGAGTAACTCACCAGAGCAAAAATACCATTTTTTCTCACTGTTTTCTTCATGCAACCTGTATACCAGGGATGGGCAAAATGTGGCCCAGGGGCCAGATGCGGCCCACCATGCCATTTTATCTGGCCCACAGGGCCCCTAAGAAATTTAGAAAAATAATATTTATCTGCCCTGGGATGCCTGTCATGCAGCCCTTGATCGCTTGCCAAAAGTCAGTAAGTGGCCCTTTGCCCAAAATAATTGCCTGCCCCTGCTGTATGCTAATGATGGGTAGGGGGAAATAAACATATCTCAAAAAAACCCATTCTTTCCTACTTCTTATGCAAGGAGCAGAGAGTCACATTAGTCAGCATTTTAACCTCAAACAATTTCATATCAAAATCTGAAAATGTGGTGAGAGTTATTTCATTCATTCTTTGAAGATAGTTTAATTTGCATAATTCTTCCCTGGCAGTGTATTCTTAATCTTCAGAATTTCCCAATGTCATTTTGATTTGTTTTCGCTGGAATTCTGATAACATCTCACTGTTATTACTAAATTAAAACCTCCATCTTCCATGCTAGGCTTAAAGCATGTGCCAAAGAGGAAACTTTATCTTAGAAAGGTTTTCTTTAGTTTATCACCCAGCTCACCTACAGACCCATCAGTTGTCACATTCCTTTTATTTCAAAACTCTAAAAGCACTCGCTAAATTATGCAACAAAATTGCCATTGGTTGAGGTGAACAGCTAAAAAAAATTAATGATGACAAAGTAGATAGTTGCGAGTACAAGCTTAAAAGTCCAGGAAGCAAAAATGTTTGCTTTGTCTATGAAATAGCTAACAAAGAGACAGTAAAACATACCACTTAAAAAACTTATATTTTATTACAAATGCAAAACAGCCATGGCACGATTTGGTTCAAATTCAGAATCCATGTTCATTTTGGACCCATTCATTTTCTCTTGTAATTTCAACAGAGATTAAGACCGGGACAGGCCATTATAACTATCATCTTGACCTCCTGCATAAAACAGACGAGAAAATTTGACCAGTATTTTTTGATATTTCTGGTTTTTTGTTATTCATGAATCTTGGAGTTCAGAGATTCATGAATAACAAAAAAGTCCAGGGATAAGGCATGGTTTTCATATATGGAGAAGCGAGGAAGGTCAAAAATCCCTACAGAGTTGTAATTTCACGTCTCCAAGCTGCTAAAAGGCTAACCCAATCCATGGTTTACCAGTACACAAGCTTTTTTACAAGGTCAGTGTCTGCTTTTTCCCTGAGTCAGACATTGCCTGGCTTTTAATGGTTAAGCTGAGAGAAGTTTTCACCTGCTGGGAAATCCTGTGGGAAAGAGACCACAATTGAGGCAAAAACATGTTGTGCTTTAAATGAAACCAGCAAAAAATATGAACAGAACAAAGCTCTGCAGTCGTTTATTTGTAATATCCCAGCCTTTATAGCAGCAAGACCCAGCTGCTAGCATGGGATGAAAGCAGACTGGGGGAGTGCGGGATAAGAGAGGCATGAGAGAGGTTTTTTGTTTTGACTGTGCCAAGGGAGGTTATGTTTACTTTTCTGCTGCATTGTGCAGGCCACCTCAGAGCTTTTAAACAATACAGGAAATTGCCTCCCTTTTCAGCTCTGATATGTGGTAGCAAGAACTTCATTATCAGGGGGATTAGTGAGCATTAAGGATATTTATTTATTGATTGATTGATCTGTTGTATATGCCACACTTCCCAACAAGGGCTCTGGACATAGCAACTAAATCCATTAAACTGCTTCTAACCAGCAACATTTATAATCCTGTCTGCCCTAATGTCACCTGGCCAGGAGCTGGAGTGACTCATGGAAAATGAGGTCTCTCTAGCTTTGTTGCCTATTGAATGCAAGGTCCTGTGTATCCTACAGCAACTTCATCTCCAATTTTGTGGTGAAGCCTCCTGATTTGTGCAGCTCCATGGGATGCACAGAAGAAAAGTTTGGTGCAGATTCTGTTGGATTTTGGGACTCAAGGTTTTCAGTGAGTAAAATCCAAAAGTGATTAATATGCCCTTTCCTTCCATTATACTTGTTTTTATAGCAGATGCAGTTGGTGCTCTGTGTTTCAGGGTGATGTATATTAAAATATACAGTTTATCTACTATGGTATTTCTCTGACCTAAGTAATATAATATTTGAGTACCTCACAATCTTGTCTCCATTGTACAAACATTGAACTCAGGCATAGAGACATCTACTGTAGCAACTACCCTGGGAGACTGTGTTCTCTGTTCATGTCAGACACCATTGTACCCTACATCAGTGTAGAAAAGTCATATAAATTACACTCATGTTAGTATGTCATGTTCAGGCCCTGGGGAATTGGTTGAATGCCTCAAACTCTCAGAGGGGTACTGTGTTTCAGGCAGCATCCTGCCAGGACCGGAAGTAACCAGTCCTAGCCGCTACACAGCACCCTAAATTTGAAACAGCCTCTGAATACCTCAGGTCTATCATGCACCATCTGCCCACAGCACAGAGGAGACTGAGACCAGCCTCATTGGACTTTATTTTCCAGATGTAATGGTTCCAAGGCATCTAGGCTGCCTGCTTTCTGATCCTTGCCTGAACCACATGGGCAATTCAGGCAAACACCCTAGGAGTTAAGAACATACAAACTCCCCGATGGTATCAAACCAAAGGCTCATTCGGTGCATCCAGATGGTGTTTTCCCATGGACAAATACTGTGGCTACAGCTGGCCAGGCTCTGGTTTCGGGCAGAACACTTTGCAGCCACGTGTGCCACATTGCTTTTTCTGCTACAGGTTTTTTTGACACCTGGATCTCTCAGTATCAAAAAAACCCAAACAACCCTGCTATGCTGCAAATTGGCAGTGCAGCAAATGCCTACATGTGTGGTGAATGTGGCTTGCCACAGATGGGTCTTCAGTGTCACAGCCTGCACATGCATGCTCATCTGAATGCACCCATCTAAGCCACCATCCTATCTTACAGTGGCAAGTAGCCTAGTGAAAACAAACTGGAGTTGGGACTTTGATATGTATTTCAAGGCCTATGATCTCAGCCAGAACCAAACCTATTTAGCAGAACTGACAGCAAATTGTCATCTTGGCCCCATGATATTCCAAGAAGTTCTTATCCCAAATTAGGGGAAAAAAATCCACCTGGAAATTTCTTATAAAGCAAAAATCCAACATAAAATTTTTGGTTGTGTTAAAACCACATTTTTGTTTCTATATTTTGAAATGTTTTACTTTAACTTTTTTATCATAGTTTACCTGAATTTTGAAAATGAACCATCATTTTGATGCTCCAGAATAGATTTTGTTTGAAAATCCTGAAGCAGGACATTTCAACAATTTTGAAACATTTTCCCCAAAATGTATATGAAAGAAGAATGTCATTAAAACTCATCCTTTCCCATGAGCTATTTCAATTTCATCAAATTGATTTTACTTTTATAAAAGGAAGTTAATAGAAGCACTTCTGACTATTACTACCACTCAGAAACTCACCCCTCATTTTGTTGTGACAGCTATTGACTCCTAATTGATCTCTTAAAAGATCAGAAGATCAGTGCTTGTCTAATTTTTTAGAATAACATGATTCATGGATGTTGAAAGGTCACCATTGTCAATACTGCATAGCATTTGTTTTCTCTTGCATGTGTAGTTACAATTGGTGAAAAGTAATGGATGAAAATTAGGTCCAGAAATTCAGAACTGCAGCTTAAAAAAGGGTCTGGGCTTTATATCATTTAAAACTCTTGGGGAACTATAACAATGTATATGAAAAATGGCAGAATTACATATGCACTCACCTCTGGGACAGATCTTGACAGCCCCAGTGAAGATGCAGAGAGGAACATCTGAATTTCCCATCTTGTTCTTAAAATGGTGGAGGAAGGTGGGAGTTTAAATGTGGATGGTCTGTGAGATCAGTGGATTCCTTCCTGACAAAGCTATTGGGCAAAAAACTCAAGGGGAATATCAAGCATGGATGCATTCATGAAACTTCATGTTGGCTTCTTTGTGAAGGCTGAACTTGTCTGGAATTCCCATGTTCCTCCTACTGTGACCCAGGCCTAGTAGTGCTAGTTCCTTTGTAGCGTGCAGTATCAGACCCCTCTTCCAGAAGTTATCAGGCACTGCTGCCCTTCCCTTATAGAGGGGGTACCGAACTCCATTTTTGTGACCTTCTTTCTTACGGTACAGGGAGGACAGTCACAGGAGGGTGAACTCTGCTTCCTAAATTCAACAGTGCAACCAGCTTGTGCTAATTTTCCTTACCTTGTTGGAATTTTTGTATTAGCGTTCTGCCCAGGGTCTCTTGTGAACTCGGTCTGTGAAAAAGAAAACACTTGGGCTCTATCTGGCTGTCCTGTTGGGAGACAACAAAGTCCTCTGCATACTAAGGGGAGCTGTGATGAATGTCTGCCATGGTGGCAAAGGCACATTTTACAGTGCAGCCATGAGATTCTGAGTCTCAGTACAATCACAGCAGACACAACAGTTTCCCCAGCACAGACTGCAGAAGCCCCCCAGAACGAGGAACTCCATTCCCCTCATAAACTCTCCCAGACCAGGCTCCTGGGTACACTCACGGCTCCCACACTAAGAGATTCAGCCCTTCCAGAAAAATCTCCTAAACCTTACAGCCTTCGTCTCAGAGCACAAGGAGTGCTCATATGTAGAAATCTATAAATGTTCTATTATTTTTGGCCCCTCACCCCAATTAGAGGATCCCAGAATCCTCATTCCCTGCTCCAGAATCATCCCGGGGGCCGTGGAAATCCTAGCACTATCTGCCAAGTCTGCAGCACAAGGACAGACCATCACAACCCCACAACTGAAGGACCTCCAAGGGCATGCTCCCCTGCTGGCCCTAATTCTTTACTCACTCCTGCCCCCGCACCTTTGCTCTATACCTGTAAAACCAGTCTGTTCCCAGGCTCTGTGGTTTGGGTTTCTTTTTTCTTCTCAAACACTTTCCCTCCCAGTACACCTGGCCTTTCTGCTCCTGGGGTGCTGAGCTGCCAAGTTCTTTCTGAAAAGCCAGGTCTGGCTTTATCTCCAAGACAAGTGAAGTGCTGACCTCAGCACTGACATCACAGCACTTGGCTCTCTGTTGACAAGATGACATCACAATACGCTGCTGAGATGCTCTCCTCATATCCCTGTCCTTTCTCCCAAAACTAGGTGGCTTTTTATTCTCACATTTTAACTTAATCTTCTCGTAATGGATAATGTGAGAAAGCCACTTCACATCCTGCCATGCTGAATGTTCATCAGAGAAGGCTCCATGGTTTCAGTCTCATGTCAGCCACACAGCCATTCACTTAAGGGTTTCTCCTAGGTATATGCCTCCCATTTCTGTATCCCGGGTAGTGATCACCAGTTCTGTATCTTGTATAATTCTGGTTTGTTGTTTGGATCCTCTGGCTGCAAGAGACTTACTTACGGGAAGCTTCTGCTTAGAAATCTGCCAGTATTACATTTTATTTGAAGAACTGGGGTCTTCACTAGTAGATAGTTCATTCTCAGTTTAGATCTGTTTGACCTTTTGATTGTAGCTCAGTGGGTGTAATATGCCAGATGTCAATGATTTTAAGTTTGGGCAGTTATAAAAAACTATAAAAAATGGAATGCTTTTGTCTAATAGGGGGATGAGTGTGCAGGGGGATGCAAATTGGGGTACAGCCAAGCAGGAAGAACATAGAGAGAGCAGTCTGGGAGGTGTTAAGAGGCTGGAATGACATCAGGGTGGCAGGGAACTACGGGTTACCAATGGGGGACTTAATTGTCTATACACAAATGCTAGGAATATGGGAAATAAGCGGGAGAAACTGGCACTCCTGGTAGCAAATAGGGAATACGATCTTGTCAGAATAACAGATCTGGTGGGATGCCACACATGACTGGGCTGTATGCATAGAGGGCTACAGGTTGCACAGAAGGAATCAGGTAGGGAAGAAGGGAGGAGGTCTAGCTCTCTATGTAAAGGAGCAGTATGACTCCTTGGAGACCCAAACTGGTTCAAGGGAAGGGTGACTTGAAACCCTGTGGGTCAAGATACGGGGATTCAATGGTAGGCATCTACTACAGACCAAAACACCAGGAGGAGGAACTGGGTCTGGAATTTTCCAGAGAACTGATGGAGGCTGCATGCTCAAGGAACATGGCTGTCATGGGTGACTTCAATTACTCTGACATCTGTTGAGAGGAGCACATGGCCAGATCTGACTGGTCACATAGGTTTTTGACCTGCATGGAAAATCTTTATTTAGTACAGGAGGTGAACAGGCCAACTAGGGAAAAGGCTTTGTTGGATTTGGTTCTAGCCAAAGGGGATGACCTGGTGGGAGATCTGAGGATTGAGGGTAATATGGGAGATAGTGATCATGAGATGATAGAATTCACTATCCATCATAAGGCAGGGAAGTCACCCACTAGGGCAGAGTTGCTTGACTTAAGGAGGCTGACTTCAATGGGTTTAGGATAATAGTGGGAGTGACCCTATTGGAAGAGGGACTGGAAGGGAAGGGAGTTCAGGAAGGGTGGTCATTGATTAAAGGAATCCTCAGAGCTCAGAAAAGGTCCATTCCTACATGTGGGAAAGGTGGTAAAGGGGCTGGGAAGCCCTCTTGGCTTACCAGAGGAGTCAAGGAGTGCTTAAAAATGAAAAAGAAGGCTTATGGACAGTGGAAACAAGGGGTAGTCGCCAAGAAGGAATACACAATTATAGCCTGTATTTGCAGGGAGAGGATAGGGAAGGCAAGGATGGTGACCAAAATCAGGGACAATAATAAGTCCTTCTTTAGGTATATAGGGAGCAGAAGGAAGACCACGGAAAATGTGGAGCCCTTGCAGAATGGGACGGGACAGCTGATAACAGACAGTCCGGAGAAAGCTGAACTCTTTAATGAATACTTTGTGTCTGTGTTCCTGCATGCAAATGGTGGTTGCCCACCTGGCTGGTTACTGGATGGATGTAGGGGGGGCAGGGGGAGCATTGCCAATTAATGGTCAGTGTCAAACTGGTGAGGGAGCACTTAGAGTGGATGAATGTCTTCAAATCAGCAGGACTGGATGGACTGCTCTCCCCTTGGCCTTTACCCAGAGGTTGTCAACAGGCCTATTTTCCACTTTGTACTGCACCTCTGAACATATGCACATCTCCTTTATATAATGGGAAACCCCATCCTTATACTTCCTAAAGAAACTATATCCATAACAGTATAGAATAATAGAAAATGAGGGCTGGAAGGGACCTCAAGAGGTCATATAGTCTAACCCCTAGCTCAAAGCAGAGCCATCCCCAGCTATGTCATTTCAGCCAAGGTTTTGTCAAGCTGGGCCTCAAAAACCTGCAAGGATGGAGATTCCACCATCTCTCTAGGTAACTTGTTCCAGGGCTTTACCACCCTCCTAATGAGAAAGTTTTTCCTAATATCCAACCTAAACTTCCCTTGCTGTAATGTCTGACCATTGCTCCTTGTTCTGTCATCTGCCACCACTGAGAACAGTCTGGCTCTAACCTCTTTGGAACCACCCTTCAGGTAGTTAAAGGATGCTCTCAAATCCCCCCTCAGTCTTTTTCACTGGATACTAAATAAACCCAGTTCTGTCAGCCTCTCCTCAGAAGTCATGTGCCCCAGTCCCCAAGGTATTTTCATTGCCCTCCACTGCACTCTTTCCAATTTGTCCACATCCTTTCTATAGTGGGGGGCCCAAAAATGGAAACAGTACTCCAGATGTGACCTCACCAGTGCAGAATAGAGGGGAATCATCCCTTCCCTTTATCTGTTGGCAATGCTTCTACTAATGCGGCCATATATACTGTTAGCCTTCCTGGAAACAAAGGCATGCTGCTGACTCATACATATCTTATTGTTCACTGTAACTTCTGGGTCCTTTTCTGAAGAGCTGCTGCTTAGCCAGTCAGTCCCCAGGCTGTAGCAATGCATGGGATTGTTCTGTCCAAAGTGCAAGACTTTGCACTTGTCCTTATTGAATTTCATTAGATTTCTTCTGGCCCATTCACCCAATTTGTCTAGGTCACTATGAATCATAGCCCTGCCCTCCAGTGTATCTACGACACTTCCCCTGCCACCCAGCTATCAGCGAACTTGCTGAAGGTGCTATCCATTTCATCTTCTAGATCATTAATGAAGATATTGAAGAAAACTGGCCCCAGAACTGACCCCTGGGGCACTGCAATTGATACTGGCTGCCAGCTAGACAACAAGGCATTGATTACTACCCATTGAGCCCAACAATCCAGCCAGCTTTCTATCTACCTTACAGTCCATTCTTCCGATTCCTTGTTTCCAAGAATGGAAATATGGAGCTTGCTTCCAAGAATGCTGTGGGAGACAGTGTCAGTACTCCAAGTTTAGAGGTGACCTGTATCAGTAGAATAGTTCCAAGCAACCAAAGTGCATTTGTGAACCTGGCCCCTAAATTCCAATTGATTTATTGGCCTAAAGAGCTGTGTTAACCAAACTTGGCCATAGGAAGGATTGCAAGGAGAGCTTAGCCCTTGAGTTCACAATGTCTCTGTTATTTAAGATCTGCCCTTATACCCTTTCTTTCAGCTCCCCAGAAAGTACTGCTCTCAGTCACATACACTGGACCAGTGACATGCAGACCAAATGCCTAAGAGTGGAAATCTTGACTGTGTTCAATCTCCCTCACACCACTGAATCAGTACATGCGAATTAGTTGTAAAGGAAAAGGGAAAATTGGTTTTATCTCTGATGTCACAGTACTTCCTGTCTACATCCCATATAATCTTAATTAGATACAACAATCATAAGTTGCAACCTAATTTCTTCAATGATAGCCAGAGGT